GCAGCACATATACTAAAATTGGAACGATACAGAGAAGATTAGCATGGCCCCTGCGCAAGGATGACACGCAAAAAGTGTTGTAGATACCAAGGGCTTAAGTGGAGAGCAAATATTTTGAGAATGATGAGGGCAACGAATGTACAAAAGTGCTTGACACAACTGCTGTATGTATGGATTTTGATAAGAGTTATATGAGCCCCTAATAAGATTTTTTTAAGCGTTTCAAATGAAGTTCTGTAAATTACTATTACTTTTGTCTTCTGTAAAGCATTTTGTACAAGGTCAACATAGGAGCCAATAAATTCAAAATGTGTTAGGAAGATATTTCTAGTAATAATGAAACTAGGAAGATCACTGGAGACTAATGTCCTCATAGAATATCAACCATTTCGACTTAAAATGACAAGTAAGCTATATTTGTATCCCACACTCTAAACTCACTAAGAATGACAGCTTCCAATTTTACACAAAACTATCTAAAATTTTGCTGTTTAGAAAGAATATTCTGTTTTGAGCTACCTAGCAATTAAAACTAAATTGAGTTAAAAATAGAATAACCAAATATATAGAGACAATGATTAGTAGGGCTGAGGATGGAGAGTTAATGTCTAAGAGGTACTAAGTTTGTATTTGGGGTGATGAAAGACTTTTGGAAAAGGATAATGATGATTATATAACATTCTGAATTTAATGTCATTGAATTCTCTTTAAAATGTTGTAAAAGATATATATACCACAATAATTTTTTTAATCATTTTATTTGAGGGCTCTTACAAATCCTATAGCAATCCATCACTGAATAGTATTAAGCACCCTTGTACATATGTTACCATCAACATTTCCAAAACAATTTTTTTACTTGAACCCTTGGTATCAGCTCCTCTAATAATATTTTTAAAAGAGAGTAAAATGTTTCCTCTACTAAAGGTTAAGAATAACAATCCCTACTTAAATGAATAAGCTATTTAGCATAGAATTGTGAAGGACCAGGATACTTCAAAACAATCGTTCTGTCACCAAGTGATGTAAGGATATTAATTCATTAGAGATTTTAAGGACATTTTGCAATCGTGTTTTATGCACAAACCATGACTTATACCCTGTAAATAAGGGTCAGCGCCCTCCCTAGGCCTGCCTCTGAGGGACAAGTGATCCTAAGGATTGTTACATAATGCTTTGAGATACCCATTTACTTGGTTGGCACAACTACATAATGTTTGTCACATTTAGGGGCAGGGGCTCAGAATTGGGAAGTGTCTTGCTCAGCATCACATGGATGTGGCTGAGCTGGATCTCATCCTCAGTCCACCACACCTCTTCCTCCCACAGGGAACGTCCAAGGCTGACATATGCCATTCCATGTGAAGGGAGGCGCTTTATTAGGAAGTGCTTCTGCAAAGTTGCCCCACTTACTCCTTAAGTGGCAGCAGTTTCACAAGTCTCCCGGTTACAAGCGAAACCTTTGCCCCTGCTAAAGCCATGTTATTAGTTGAAAATCGGGTAGGAAAAGTAAATGGCTGCAAGAAATCTAAAGATGTTTCTCCTCTGCAGTTTTGACAGCTGAATTTAGCCCCTCCTACAAAGCCCTTGAAGGCCTCCCCGGGAGGCCAAGGGGTGGGCTGGGAGGGGAAAGGGTTTCTGGTTGGCTGTAAGGGGGTGTAGAGGGGGACAAAAGTTGGGCTAAGGAGAGAGCTGGGGTGCCCGAGTGTGGTTGGGGATGTGGGCTCTGTGGCTGAACTCGATGGGGGGGTCAGAGGCCAGGATCAGAGCCGAGAGCCGGAGGGGTGCTCCGGTCCGGGCGGGTTTGAGGTATGGAGCTAGGGGACCAAAGGGGAGGGTGCGGGCTCGGGGGTCTGTTGGGCTCCGGCTCCGGGAGGGAACGGAGCCCTCTCACGGACGCCCGTGATTGGATTGCTTCCTGAGTCCCGCCTCCCTGGACCGCAGGCCCCGCCCACCCCGCCGGCCAGCCTGTAAGCCGGGAAGAGGACCAGGCTGGAGCAGGGGGGAAAGGGGGGCGGGGGGGGGAGAGGAGCGGTTCGTGCACGCGCCCCACTCACTGTGCGTGCGCGAGCAGCGCGCTCCCGCTGCCCGCGCCGCCATCTTTTCCCCCTCCGTCTGTCTGTCTACGGGTGCTTTGTCCGTCTGCAGTGCCGCCCCTCTGCTACCCGCCACCGGCTCGGCCTAGAGCCACTCTCCGCCCGCCGGGGCCCTGTCCCGGAGAGGCGCGGCCCGGCTGGGCCCGAGCGGCAGCCCGGGACCCATTGTCCTGCGGTCCGTCTGTCCGGAGGCGGGGCCCAGGGACCCGGGGCGCAGCGAAGCACCGAGGCGTCGGGTAAAAAGACCCCTGCCTCCTTCCCACTGGGCCCAGACTGCAGATGCAGGGGCTCCCCGCCCTCCCCTCCGTTGCCGGCTGTCGGTCCTTTTGTCTGTCTGCGTTTGAGGAGGGGGCTTGGCGCTCGCTTGGCCTGAGGGCGGCGCGGCCCAGGGCCCCCTGGCTGGGGAAGACGAGGCCCGCGCCGG